GGAGCCTTCAGCTCTGCCCGCCTGGCCGAAGAGAACCGCCGGCCTTCTCGGCTCCGGCGCGTCGTTAATCTCACCTGGTCCCCGCCTTACCCGCGTGTCACTGCTGCTTCACACGGCAGCAAACCCGTGCGTGCTGTCAGTTGAACACTCGTGGCAAGATGTTGGCAAAAAATTAAAGGGGCTTAGAGGGGAAAAGAGGGGGGGATAGTGTGGCACTTTAAAGGTTGACAACGCGTCACAAGAAACTCTCACTGGAACATCCATGCACCTAAATTGACTTTTTAACATGTGATCATTGAATGCTTTTAGATAGTGAACAGAAATTCATTTTAGCAAGCAGGTTGTTTAGTTGTGAAGTCGTGTCTGACGCTTCCTGACCCCAGGGACCAGAGCATGCCAGGCCCTCCTGTCTTCCACTGCCTCCCGGAGTTTGGTCAGATTCAAGTTGGTAGCTTTGATGACACTGTCCAACCATCTCATCCTCTGTCGTCCCCTTCCTTCTCCTCTTACCTTAACACTTTCCCAACATCAGGGTCTTTTCCAGAGAGAGTTCTCTTCTCATGAGAAACAAGCAGGTAGCATGCTTTGTAGCTTTGGTTTGGCATTTCAATGCCTTTCTTGTGAATCTTTATTCTGAAGGCAGTTTGAATTAATGAATGAATGAATTAGATGTCTGGCCAGGTTAAGACATAAATGACTCTAAACCTTAGGCTGCAGTCCCGTCTCTAAGATCAAATCCTATTGAACTCACTGGGGTTTACTCCTTAGTAGATACAGTACATACGTGACTTATCTTTGTCCACTAAACATCCACCCCACCACACATCTGCCAGCCATCTCTGTAGCTGTTGCATCTGGCAGCTCAGCAAATAAAACTGCAATTGCTGAGGAACACACAGGCAGCAAGCTAGGATAGACTAATACAGTTTATGAGTTCAAACCCCCTTTCCTCTCCAAGAAAAAAGCTGAAGGCAAGCACGTACTTCTCCCTGTGCCCCTTTCGCTGAGAATGCTGGCAAACAGGAGGCTGGTGTGTCCAGTTAAAGCCTTTTTGTTAAGTTTTATCTTACAGAGAAAGTGACGGGTCAATGAGAGGAGGCATGAGCTTGCAGGTTTGTACAATCCTGAATGGAGTAAGCAAAGAGGATGTAGAAAATGCCTTCCTTCATAATAGTAGGAGGAGATGGGGGGGCTGCCCAGATGGGCAGATATTTTAAGGTGGACAGAAGAAAGTGCATCAATTGTAAGCATCATTCTTTGCTGCAACATGAAATGGAGGAGGGAAAGTGGTCTATCAGTGGTTGTTCGATGGGATAAGGAGCCTCCAGGTACAGGTGAAGTGAAAAACAAGAGCTGGAAGCTAGACAGTGGGGGAGGTGATAGCTACTTTCAAGATGATCTTGTGGGTATCCCGGAAGCATCTGGCCAGCCACTATAGGAAAGAGGAAGTTAGACTTTCAGCCTTCCTCTAAGCTGCTACCCTTTAGTTGTATCAAAGTCTAGAACCCATCACCCCAGCTAGCATGATGCTGACTAAAGAATATCAGTGGTTGCACCCAAGCCTATCTGGAGGATGCCAATATGGGGAAGGCTGGCACTAGAAGACGGGCCCTGAGTCTAATCAAGCAGGCTTCTTGCTTTCTTGCTTGTATGCTTATTTATTGTATACTGTAAATGTTTGTGTCGCCTTCCAGCCATAGCACCAAAGTTGCAAGAATAACAAACATTCAATGGAACTATAAAATATTATTCAGGGATCAAATCATCCAATCATCCAATGAAAATACCGTATGAGTGTTTGAAATTAGGTCATACAGTTCATATTACCACTTTAGTACATGTTGAATAAAATGTGATGCATCTTCCAAACTTTGGTATCCACTGGGTAAGCCGAATGAGGGTTTTTCTTGAGCCATTGCTCTGCTTCATTCACGAAATTTTATGGGAGCCTCAGACAATTATGATTCCTACTCATTACTCAGCTTTCTTTTCCCACCCCTTTCCATCCTTATTTTTTCTTTTTCTTTCCACAGAAGATCTATTAAGGAGGAAACAGCTAAACAGTTATACAGGACCTTCTGATTACTAGTGCTAGGATCCCTCAACATAGAAACACCTAGGTTTCAAACTAGAACCTGGAAAGGGGATCTCCTCAGTTGGTTAACATTCTGGCTGGGTAAAGGATGATCTTAGTCAACATGTGCAAGTTGACCAGAGGAGCTAGAATATTGTGGTGCCTAAGAGAATGTGTGAACTAGACATTTCCTGGTCTACCATACAAAGTTGTTACAAGTACTAAAAGTTCATTCAACATTCCTTTGTAAATGACATTTTTATTTTGAAATACAAGATACCAATGAGATACAAGGGAGAGGGCCTTCTCTGTTGCTGCTCCCAGACTCTGGAACTCCCTCCCACAGGAGACTAGCTTGGTCCCATCTTTGTTTTCTTTCTGCATGCAGACAAAGATCTTTCTTTTCAGGCAAGCTTTCCCTGAGCAACTGGATGCCTGAGTGGATTTTTAAAAATGGATTATGGTACCTTACTGCATTGAATGTTTCTTGGTGTTATGTTTTTTAGTATTGTATTTGTTTAATCTTTTTTGTTATATGTATATTCACTGCTGTTAGCTTAAATATTGTCTTTTAATTGATGTAAGCCACCCTAGGTACCTTTTTAAGAAGCAAGATGGGATAAAATATTTTAAACAAATAGCGGTGAACAAGGCATGTCATTTTACATTATTCAGTGCAGATTCTATATGCATTTTAGAATAATTGTCCTATGATGTGTGCTCATTTTGTTTCAGTCCTTTTGCAGTCACAGACTGATCAGTCTTCACTCTTTGTCCTTACTCTCAATTATTTATTTCAAGAAACAGGACTATACACTTCAGAGATATTTGTCTGTGGATTCCATATTAATGTATAGAATAATGGGGAAGCAGATTTCTAAGAATGAATGCTGCTTGTTCATTCTTTAAGTAACCTTTCCAGATATTGTGTTAACTTGTCAGGCCTTTTAAGACATTATGTTAGCTTGTCAGCAATGGGTACCTCCCAGATTTTTAGAAATCATTCATTCACAATGTACCCATTACACTGTATTCCATCTTAGTTGCTGCTAATAAAAATAAAATAAAGCTATCACGTAACAATTGCTTTTGTGTGTGATTAAAAATGGGATGTTCAATGTGCAGTAAAGCCAACTGAACTGAATGAGGCTTACATCTGAGCAGACCTGTATGAATGCACTGTAATTCTACATTTCATTGTTCTTTAAAATACAGTACTATTTTCTTTTGTATATAATGCAGCTAATGAAAGAAGAAAACAAGAAATAAAAGTAGGCAAGAAGGGGGGGAAATAAAAAAGAAGAATAACTAGATAATAAATAAAACTATTGAAAATGGTGTAATAAAAAATTTTTTTTTTACCAGTGCAGGTATAATAACGCCAGTGTGTAATATCTGTGGCCCAATACAAGTAAAGCCTTTTGAATTCTATGGAGTTTGCTTCTCAGTAGATGCACATCAAACTATCCTTTAGTCTCTGAAGGCCAAAAGCCACAGAGTTAGATAGGAAGTCTTAGCAACCCAGCTGAAGGCCGCAAGGAGAGGGCAAGGCAAATGACACAAAGGAGGGAATTCCCAAGTCCCTGCATAGAAATCCTTGTTTAGATCAAATGTAGTTTTAGGACTGACGGAAAGACCTCCACACATAATCTTGAAGAGCAGAGTGGCTCATTATGTAAGACTTTCTCACATCCGATCTATCCCAAGTACAGTATGCATGGAGGAATGCATGGCTCTCTTCCCTCCTTTCACCCTTACATAAACAGTACAAGGTAGTTTAGACCTAGCAGTCAGAGTGGCACAAGGAAGCAAAAGGAACAAGCAAGTGTCTGGAGACGGAGAAGTCAAAAAGAGGTGGTGACTGAGAGTCTCTCTATGTCTAGAACTGTAGGTCTCTGCTTTTCTCTGCTGTGTCTTTCCTGGCATTGTCTTCCCAAATGGTGGAGACTGGTAACTCCCCCCCCCCAACCCCC